TCACGATATAATATTCTTTTATTCACATCTGATACATCAGGATTGGATATAAATAATCCTTATATATCATCCTCACGATATAATATTCTTTTATTCACATCTGATACATCAGGATTGGATATAAATAATCCTTATATATCATCCTCACGATATAATATTCTTTTATTCACATCTGATACATCAGGATTGGATATAAATAATCCTTATATATCATCCTCACGATATAATATTCTTTTNTTAAGTGAAGAGTCAACACCCCTGATTGAAGTAAATTGTTTTCTTCCCTTTAAATAATTTTTGAACCATAAGTTAGAAGTCCCACGAAATCCATAGTGTTCAAGCTTGCTCAGTAGAATGTCAACATCACAGGTATCAAAAGCTTTAGTTAAATCTATAAAAATTCCCAGAGTATATTCGGATACAGGTTTATTTAGTGCGTTGTATATTTTATCTAAGAAATGAATTAAGGGTTGAGTAGTGTTGTGCTTTGCTCTGAAGCCATACTGATGTTCATAAAGTAGTTTAAATTTATTCAAATATTTCATAATTTGATTTGCTGCCACTTTTTCTAAAAGTTTTGAAAATGAAGAAAGCAAACTTATGGGCCTATAATTTGTAAAATTATCCGTTTGACCAGAACTGTTTTTACTTTTTAGTTTTTTAAGAGCATCATTTATAATACCAGGGGTCATATTTGCAAAAACAAATTGGATCTAAATAATCCTTATATCATCCTCACGATATAATATTTTTAAATTCACATTTGATACATCAGGATTGGATATAAATAATCCTTATATATCATCCTCTCGATATAATATTCTTTTATTCTTTTATTCTTAAATTCACATCTGATACATCAGGATTGGATATAAACAATCCTTATATATCATCCTCACGTTATAATATTCTTTTATTCACATTTGATGCATCAGGATTGGATATAAATAATCCTTATATCATCCTCACGATATAATATTCTTTAATTCACATCTGATACATCAGGATTGGATATAAACAATCCTTTTATATCATCCTCACGTTATAATATTCTTAAATTCACATCTGATACATCAGGATTGGATATAAACAATCCTTATATATCATCCTCACAATATATATAATATTCAAACAAGGGATATTCAATTGTATGGCTAAACAACATAACCAGAGACCAAATTTTAAGAATTTGAGATGCGGCTCAAATATGGTTGGTTCCACTTGAAATTGTATTCAGTGTTTGGAACAGGTTTTTGGCGGTATAGAGACACGGTTTAAATTCTTTAAATTCGGCTTCAGGGTTAGCCACACAAAATAAGGACTTGTAAGTTATAAAAAGAAATTATTTAATACTTTTTCTTGAGATCATAATTCCATTTTATACAGGCTGAACTACTCCGTGTTTAACTCCAACACGGTTTACAGGCTGAACTACTCCGTGTTTAACTCCAACATGGTTTACAGGCTGAACTACCCCATGTTCATATACTCCGGCAAGGTTTAATGGCTGAACTACTCCATGTTTATCTACTCCGACAATGTTTAGAGGCTGAACTACTCCATGTTTATCTACTCCGACAATGTTTACAGGCTGAACTACCCCATGTTCATATACTCCGGCGAGGTTTACAGGCTGAACTACTCCATGTTTATCTACTCCGACAATGTTTACAGGCTGAACTACTCCATGTTTATCTACTCCGACAATGTTTAGAGGCTGAACTACTCCATGTTTATATACTCCGACGAGGTTTACAGGCTGAAATACTCCATACTTACATACTCCGACGAGGTTTACAGGCTGAAATGCTCCCTGTTTATCTACTCCAACATGGTTTACAGGCTGAACTACTCCAAGTTTATCTACTCCGACAGGGTTTAGCTGAACTGCTCCATGTTAATCTACTCAGACGGGGTTTACAGGCTGAACTACTCCATGTTTATCTAATCCGACAATGTTTACAGGCTAAACTACTCCATGTTTATCTAGTCCGACAGGGTTTACAAGCTGAAATAATCCATATTTATCTACTCCGATAATATTTACTGGCTAAACTACTCCACGTTTATCTACTCCGACAGGGTTTGCTGAACTACTCCAAGTTTATCTACTCCGACAGGGTTTGCTGAACTACTCCATGTTTATCTACTCCGACAGGGTTTAGCTGAACTACTCCAAGTTTATTTACTCCGACAGGGTTCATAGACTGAACTATTCCATGTTTATCTACTCCAACATGGTTTACAGGCTGAACTACTCCAAGTTTATCTACTCCGACAGGGTTTAGCTGAACTACTCCATGCTTATCTTCTTCGACAGGATTCACAGAGTGAACTAATCCATGCTTATATACTCTGACAGGGTTTACAGGCTGAACTACTCCATGTTTATCTACTCCAACAATGTTTACAGGCTGAACTACTCCATATTTATCTACTCCGACAGGGTTCACAGACTGAACTATTCCATGTTTATCTACTCCAACATGGTTAACAGGCTGAACTACTCCAAGTTTATCTACACCGACAGGGTTTAGCTGAACTACTCCATGCTTATCTTCTTCGACAGGATTCACAGAGTGAACTAATCCATGCTTATATACTCTGACAGGGTTTACAGGCTGAACTACTCCATGTTTATCTACTCCAACAATGTTTACAGGCTGAACTACTCCATATTTATCTACTCCGACAGGGTTCACAGACTGAACTATTCCATGTTTATCTACTCCAACATGGTTAACAGGCTGAACTACTCCAAGTTTATCTACACCGACAGGGTTTAGCTGAACTACTCCATGCTTATCTTCTTCGACAGGATTCACAGAGTGAACTAATCCATGCTTATATACTCTGACAGGGTTTACAGGCTGAACTACTCCATGTTTATCTACTCCGACAATGTTTACAGGCTGAACTACTCCATGTTTATCTACTCCGACAATGTTTATAGGCTGAACTGCTAGTGCTACCCACAGGGCGAATTATTTTTATTGACAGATGACATTTAAAAGTATGTTTATGATGCTATTCAACGGAAAACAGTTGTCATATTTCATTTGATCTGATGACTCGGCAAATATTACGCTGTTTGATATGAATTAGTATTAAATATTTTTCACCATGTCGGTTAATGAGTAAATAAAGGATTGATGAGTAGATGAAGGATTAATGAGTAGATGAAGGATTTATGAGTAGATGAAGGATTAATGAGTAGATGAAGGATTAATGAGTAAATAAAGGATTATTGAGTAAATTTAGAACTAATGAGTAGGTGAAGGATTAATGAGTAGATGAAGGATTAATGAGTAGGTGAAGGATTAATGAGTAGATGAAGGATTAATGAGTAGGTGAAGGATTAATGAGTAGATGAAGGATTAATGAGTAGATGAAGGATTAATGAGTAGGTCAAGGATTGATGAGTAGATGAAGGAGTAATGACTAGATGAAGGATTTGGCAAAGATCTCGAGTTGTTGTTGTTTCTATTATATTGTGTGGGTGTAAAAACTGGTCTGCTGGTCGGAAACCTTCTACACCAGATCTCATTTAAATATATAATTAATGGGACAGTTCACTAGTATTTATATATTATTAAGTGAACGTTCCCTATCTATTTCTAAGCAAAGTCAATGAATAATATTACTATATATTAGTATATTTTATAAACACAATCACAATCTTTATTTTTTGTTATACTTAGTGCTTTATTTAGGATTTCATCTAGAGCTCGATAATGACAATCAACCTGATTTTAAAGTACTAGTTTCAAAAAGCACAGAAAGCCTAAGATAGAAAACAAATATGGCAGATTTATGTAACAAACAAAATCCGTTTTATGGAGTTGATAACTATAAGCGCAATTTTTTGGCTGGACATTAGAATGCGTTTTTAGCACTACGTTTTTATTACATTTTACAAGACTCTGTAACTAACAAGTGTACGCTGTATGAAAGTAGAAATTACAAATCACATGAATATGCACATCTCTTTCTTTTGTGCAATTGACTCAAAAATCACGAACATTCCCTTAAATGTGAGCTTCATGCATTGTAAAATTAATATAAAATACAAATTATATTTTATCCTTCACGACAATAGTTCTGCGCAGCGTCTTCAATCTGATTGTAGTGGATAATATTAGTCTTGAATCTGATTATAGTGGATAATATTAGTCTTGAATCTGATTATAGTGGATAATATTAGTCTTGAATCTGATTATAGTGGATAATATTAGTCTTGAATCTGATTATAGTGGATAATATTAGTCTTGAATCTGATTATGGTGGATAATATTAGTCTTGAATCTGATTATAGTGGATAATATTAATCTTGAATCTGATTATGGTGGATAATATTAGTCTTGAATCTGATTATGGCGGATAATATTAGTCTTGAATCTGATTATAGTGGATAATATTAATCTTGAATTTGCAAAAATATCCAATATATTTCTAGAAGGGACTGTAGACGTAATTTAACATGACCCTCAATTTAAATTAAGTGGTATATCCGATAAAGAACAATAACAAGGGTAACTCTATTACCGCAATATGAGTAACTAAGGAAGATATTAAAAAGTTAAAATTGCAATTAAATTATTTTTTTTTAACTAAAAAAATGAAGATATCTCACTTATCTCTGATCAGACAAATGTTTAAGAAACTTTTGTTGTCTTTAATGTGTCTGCAGCAGAAATCCGGAAACCAGACTGGAAAACAATCAATTTTAAAAAGAAAACATAACTTTTCATTTTTTACTTGATCAGACAAAGATTTTCAGGTTTTTAATCTGACATACGATCATGCTTCAGTTGTACAGTTTTGATAATCATGTAATTTTAATGAACAGTTGTAAAAACAAATAATCTTAATTTATAAAAAAAATGCCTTTTGGCATCCGGCATTTTTGGTACATCCTAGCCATGGACCATAGTTTGAGTAACTCCCTTAAGTATGGTTATTTCATGCAGAATTCATTCGAAGAATTTAACTTAATAGACCCGCTAATATTCACACTATATCCATTCTTCAAAATACATAATACGCAGACGTACGCTTAAAATGCGTAACTATGAACCGGACCGACCTGCGTCACATTCCTGACGCCTGAGACGCCGCAGTTAAAAGTGAACCACGGTGTAGTGTGGTTAGAAGAATGCGTATAGAGGTGATATAGTGCGTATAGTTATATAGTGATATCAACGTTACACAACACAACAATTATACGCATTCTTTAAAAAACAAGGTATAGCACTTTTTTAACAAAAATCCTACTGATATAAACAGGTATAGACGCAATCGGTGTATAAATAGATATAATTATGAGGAAAAGAATAAAAATACTATTTCCTAATTTATTCTTTAAGAATTGTAGCCCCAGGGCTACAACATGTAATTTTAACGATTTTAGTTGTAAAACCGTCGATATTATTCAGTAGGTTTGGGTTGCCTTATAAATTGGTTAAACCGCAAGGTGTTACGAGTTATACGATCATTAAATTGTCTTTAATTTAAAGATGTTATTTTGTTGATGATTATGCCACAATTTGATATTAAATGTTACTTTACGGTTAGCATTATTTCCTCCAACTAATAAAGCAATAATTATAAGCATTTGTCAGTTTTTACTTTTTATATTGGCCTAAATTTAAATCTTAGCAAACCCTTTTCCTTGCACTGATATTCTGAAATCTTGAAAGATAAAAAGATAACCATGCTTGATCATATCACCTTGTAAGGTACAACACAAAATTGGGCCCACTTGGTTCAGCTGTTTCGATCCAAACATACAGACCACGCCTTATACAAACTATAGGAGAGTATATTTAGCACTGAACTGTTTATCTATATACAAACTATAGGAGAGTATATTTAGCACTGAACTGTTTATCTATATACAAACTATAGGAGAGTATATTTAGCACTGAACTGTTTATCTATATACAAACTATAGGAGAGTATATTTAGCACTGAACTGTTTATCTATATACAAACTATAGGAGAGTATATTTAGCACTGAACTGTTTATCTATATACAAACTATAGGAGAGTATATTTAGCACTGAACNTTATTTCATCTTTATCTTTATTTTATTTTTTATTCTTTTCATACATTTTTTCTTTTATAGTTCTTTTCTCCTACATAATCTCTTTTCTTCTTAAATTTCTTTTTTCTTTTCTCTTCTGAGCCTTTCCTTTCTTTTTCTCATTTTTTCATGTTTTTTTTACTTATTCTATTTATTTTTCTCATTATATTTTTCACTTGTTTTCTTTTATTTTTCTAATTTCTTCCAGTTATTTGAAATTATTTTCTTTTTTTTCTAATTTTTTCATGTCTTTTCACTTCTTTTCTCACTTTCTCATTTGTTCATGTTATTTTTCTTCCGTAGTTCATGACAGTTACAGGTTCTCGAAGAACTGTCCTTACCGCGTTAATTATATTTTTTAACGATGGACCGCGTTAGTTAAATTTTGTTAACGATGGGGATCGTTAACAGGAGAACCAGTTCTTTAATTTAAAAAAAAAATACGTACCCTTGAACAGTCTTACTCCTGATTAGTTCAGCTTCCCTTAGATGTATAAAAAATGATGTGGACCAGCTGTAACTAACCTTCTAGTTAGTATCTTGATTAATAATCTAAAATAATTAGTCTGGAAACTGAGCCCATTATTCAATAGGTTCATGCTGCCCTTGTAAACATTTGTACTAAATCGTTCAGCTTACCGTGGGACCCATAAAACTAGGGAACTGAAAGACGACATTAAAGCAATCTTATGTTTTTTGAGTGATGATATGAAAAAAAAATTACCATTTGCTTGTAAATCAAACTTAAAAGTGGGTCTGTTATTACCATTCTTCATTGTTGTGTTTTTCACAGTGGATATCGAGAGCACACCCTAAACTAAGCTTTCGGTGTGTACTGCAGTGATTTTCAGTACACTGACCTATAAAATAGTGGGTTAAAGGGAGAGTGATCTAGCGTTGTAGATTAGCGCCTTTTCTTCACACAAAAATTTTCGGTCTCAAACGTTTTTTTTCTTATTATCAATGAATTTAACCTTTTTTATTTTTGATATCGATAATCTGGAACAATTGAACTCGATATCAAATATGGACACTTTCAAATTTGAGAATCCTCAATGCAAGTTATCTCTGCAGGATATGACCAACACGGGATATCGACGGGGAATTTAATCAATTCATAAAGGTCGGCATGATGCGCATCAATGCGCTTGATCCCAAGATTCAAAGCACAAAAGTTCTGAGCTGAAACTTCAGAATTGGATCCAGGCCTCAATACCGATCGTTTAATCCGAATATCTGCACTGTGGACACTTTCCACTGAATCCGATCTTTTTCCCTCTGGATTTGGACCAATGATAATTCTCTCTTTAAATGGCGAGCAAAATTTAAAAATTTTCCGACTTATTATTGGCTGTTGGAGATCTTATGCATTTGCCATACTCTGATTTGTTATATTTTATACAATTTTTTGTACTGTATACAATCCAAGGTTTATTATAATCTTCAGATTACAAAACAGAGGAGATAAAATTTGTCTCGATATCGCCTAATTATTTATAGAAATAAACTTTAATCAATTAATCAATCTCGATACCCTAATTTTTAAAGTTTTCAGCTCAACAGTGGCCTTTGAAGCCCCCTTCCCCCCCCCCCTCCTCTTTAAAAAACATACCGCCCCTTTCCTTTCTTTCTTTCTTGTTACCGACGACAAGGTATTTAAATGACCGCTATTGTAAAGTTCCTGAATAACATTAATGGCATTGCTAAAATAGAACAATGATTTAAATGTGTGTCCTAGAGTGGCAGAAATATTTATTATGAACATTAATCTTAAACCAAAACACAGGCAATGTATTCTGTCATGTACAGACGCTAATGTTGACAAATTGAAAATTTATGGTATTATAGAAACGATGTTTATTAGCTTTTTTAATAATTTTTACCTGACTGTACAGTGTACAGCAATTCATCCACTCTTTTTAACCTAACCTGAAGTACTGTTAAAAAAACAATGAATTTACAATTGTTTAATTTCGTTAATTATTTTTCAAAAAAAGGGGGATTTTAGGTGGGGAAACACTTTTTTTTAAATGTTTGAGAATTTAAAGAATTTTGTAAATATATATATTTATTCTTACAATATATAAATAATGAAAATTGAAAACTAAGACATGAATTTTAATAAAATTTAAACTTTGTATATTTTTATGATTGTATGAATTTTCTTGTATTTGGATTACAATTTCAATTGGTGCACTGAGATATATGTATTAATTATAATCTTAATCATAACAAATCAATTAAATTGAATTATATATAATAATCTTCAATCATCCATAGAATATAACAGCTGATAAACCTTGCCGCAGGGTGTCTCAAAATAAGTTCGGCCACCCTGGATATTTTTTTAACACACCCTGTATCAAAAAATTCAGTTTAATCTGGACGTTCCTAAAATTATAAATTTTGTTTTCATGACGTGATGACACCCTGTACAATATATAATCAAGAAGACACACAAATGGTGATTAATGATTACATATATATATATATATATATACATCATGTGAACAGAATCAGTTTTATGTTTAAAGATATTTACTTCCTTCTTCTCTTTAAGATGATATATGAAAAACGACTGAAAAATTATCTTTTTTTGTTTTTGATTTTTCTAAACTAAAAACAAAGGGTTGAAACTAAAAACTCTTTGTAAAAAAAAATGAGAGGACGATTTGTTCGTGTTTGAACGGATTAACTCGTTTTGAACGGAATAGTTCGTTTTTCAGAAAAACGAAAACGATCCATCCCTAAGCTACTAATGAAAACAATAACTTGAACCGGAACACAAGATGGTTTAACTATCTTTACGCAGTTCAACTAGTTTCCTCCTTTCAAACACTTTTTTCTCCTAATTTTCTCCGTTTTTATTGTAAGAAAGGGACTGTTGACGGTGTAAGTTCATGTGTCTCTTCATGTACAATGTATTGTACATAGTATAATCCTGTTTACTACGGTATTCTTTAAACCTTCGTCTAATCATAAGATATATTCTCATTTTTCTTGCTGACAATCGATTTTTTTTTCAATGTGGAATGGAATAAATTGTCTGAATTCAATACTTTTTCCTTTTTTATTGGTTCCCCCTGCATCCTACATATCATCCCTTTTTAATGGTTCCCCCTGTAAGATAGAGATGCCTGAAACAATTTCCCTTATTAAGGTCTCTACCCATGCAATTGACCTTAAACCAAGTATACATAACTTAACCTATAGGAATAATAAACTAAATGCAGCTCGGCTGTACTGTACTGTACTGTACTGTACTGTACTGTACTGTACTGCACTTTACTGTACTGTTCTGTACTGTATGTATGTTCTCTATGTACCCCATAAAGGGACTGTGGGCGTAATTTCAAGTTTGGTTTCAAGAGGGGAATGCTCGAATCACAACGGTAACTTAGTTTCATCTTTATCTAATCTAGAATTTGAATAATATAGTTTTGAAATTCTGTCAATTTTCACAATTCAATTTCTCAAACAGAAATGCGTTTATAGTTACTTGATAGTAAAAATCACAATTGAAAATAATCAATTTTTAAAGAAAAGATGATTGATTTCTCATGTATTCTTGATGGAGCGTCACTTGAAATAACGTAAACAGTCTCTTTAAACCCGGGCAAAACGGATAATTAAGTAAAGTGTAGGATTAAACGAACCGTTTCAAAACAACAGCAATGCAATTTTTAAAAGACATATTCAGCCAACCTTATCTCGATAATTGTAAAATATATTTGTCGAAAGGGCATGTTCATTTTTGTATTTTTTAATCTAAATAAATTTATTTGTATATGTTTGAATACAAGGAATTTGCGGAAATTTGGAAATTATAAAAAAAAATTATAACACAATTTTAAACAAAACTATATCCATTAATGTTTCCGTGTAAAATGATTTGTAATTTATTTTGGTTAATTTTGTATGACATCTACGCTGTAAAAAGAAATTACAACATATTAATCTTAAACTGCTGACATTTTATTTGAAATAACAAATTAATTTTATGAGATATAACAATTTGAAAGTTATCTCTCTCATTTTGTTAAAAATTTTCAACAAATTTTTCGTAATTTAAAAATGCTATAACTTATGTATTTTTTTAAAATATGTCAAGTTAGCAGCTGTTACACAAATTTGAAGAAAAAAAACCCCTAAAAATGGA